ATTGTCGGAATAATGATGGTAAAACGCATATCTGTCACTGCTTAAATGAAAATATTCGCAATGAAATCATGCTTCGTTGCAAATACTGTATATGAAACTAATAGCATATGGACCTGATCTAATTTCAATTTTAGGAAATATCGTCTTCAATAATTTACTGTTTCAATGCGCGACAGCCATTTTAATGTAATAATGTAATCTTCAGGATTGACGAAGACCAGTACGCCATTCTGAATAATTTTGTTCACAAGGGCTGAGCGGATCATATGAACCGTATAGTTATCTCCCAGAAAATTCCTCATTTAATGCTCCTCCGTTAGTGATAAAACCTCATCAAATTTGCGTTTTTCAAAAACTATTTGTCCAGCTTACACAGTATTTGAAGTACTGTATTGAAAATCTGATCAGTATACAACATTTAAAAGTTGTTTTATCGAAGTCACATGACATCTTTCCACGAAACGACCCGTTGTTGACTTTAAGTTGGGGCGAACATAGTAGTCCCAATAAGTGAGAATATGATTCCGAATACTTTGTTTTGTTAAACTATGTTATTGAGTCAACTAATCTTATTAAAAACTGACAATTGCGATCGTCTTGACTCCAGTAATGTTCATTAGTTCTATTTCACCTTAACTTTGTATCGCCGATGCGCAATTAAGTCGCTCTGATGACGTCATTCGAAATGGACTATTTCAATCCCATTTGCGAGACGTAGAGTGGAATTCATTTGTCAAAGGTGTGTTTTTATTTTTTGTGCTCATACAGATGCACCCGCCTAGAATATACGCCAAATAGTTGACAAGGTCGGCATTGCCTTCACATCACAGTAAAGTACGACTAACATTCCTGACGGTAGTAAGCCTAGATGGGTAACTCACATTCGGACAAATTAAATATTAACTATCTCGCCTTTTTTCACGTATACTGACGATGTATGTATTTTATTACCCACCTGACAGCGTTTAAACTCTAGCCAACTGCTTTTATCGCTTTGTGGATTCCAAATATAGCTTGTTATGTGTATAATATGTATTCGTCTTTTTGTATACCTAAGTCCGTTGTCTCAGGAGACGAGGCATATAGTCGTTATGATAAGCTACAGTGTATGTATGCGGTCTTGCACTTTATAGCGATAGTCATCAGGTTATAGCAGCAGCGTCAGCTAAGCGATGGATAACCGTTTTAGTTGAATTAAAGGCAATTATTTTGGGTAACTGTGTACTGTTCAAGTATATATATGTCATATACCTGCGTATTTTTGTCAGTTTGTAAATTTCAAGTGCCTAACTTTAAATGATAGTTATGGTTATTATTAGAAAAGGATACTAAATTATTATCTTTTACATGTCAGTACAGGAATGCAGTGTCATTTGGGTTAGTGCTTCAGGGGACTCCTTTTCAATAAAATTTACTTTCACGTTACATTCAAAGGCATATTGAGACTCATAATACGATCATGTTACCTATATTGGTTTTGTTTAGTTCTGTTCCAATTGCTTCAAGTATGTTGTTCAATTTGTTCTCGCTCGGCAGTTTCATCTTATTCTCATCTTACGCGCCCGTTGTCGCTTATGCGTGAATTCTGGCCCGTTAACGGCCATACCATGCAGGCCTCACCTTCCGTCGTCTTTTTCTCATCAAGGGTCGATTGGGGACACATACCCTTTCCTATCCTTACTAAACAGATCACATAGATCGCATCTTAACAAATTTTCTTATATGTAAATTTGACATTTCAAGTATTTTTTCAGTGTAAGTATTAAAAGTATTTCAAACCTCTTTGACAAGATCAAGCTCAAGTTTAACATGTCTTCGTGTCATTTACTACTCGCTTCATTAAATATTTATACCTCGCTAAAAGGGAGTTCGAACAATGATCCTGCGTAGTTTAAAGGAAAGTTGTTATATAAAAATTTCCATTTCTTAGATATTGTCAAGTTATACTTATAAGTATAGATGGGATTAACTAGTAGGCCTAAACAGTAAATTAGTCTTATGGTTATTTTTGTCCCTTTTTTAAATTTATACCCAAATTTCATCTATATAAATAGAGAATAGAGTCAGTTGAACTCGGTCGAGGTACTCGGCGTCGTCAGATTAGAAAACGTTCTGCCTTTTTTGCCTTACATACATCTGTCATTATATTCGGAAACCGTTTGTTACACATCATACGCTCCTACTAAATGCCTACAATTGCATCACGTTTTATCAATTCCTGCTATGAGCTGACGCGTTTCTATGTTTATGGTCTTCAATTCAATCCCACATTGAAGAATAATAGCTAATGTGGGATGCTTATAATAACATTCACTTGTCATCAGATATCACTTCTCCTTACATATATTTCACGGTTAATAATTTTCTACTTGAACCTGAAAAAAATGTCAATTTAAATCAACTTGACTCCTCGATTTTAAATCTTCCTGCTAGAGAATAATTGATTTTTTTGTAAGCGTAAATGTAGTGGTACTTTATTGCTTCTGAGGCCCGAATAATGCATCAAAAAAATGATGATAATCTTTAGGCAACAAAAGAGGCATTAGATCGATAACGGTGTTTTGAATAGATACCGTTTTAGAGTTTTGAAATGTCAGAGCACTGATTGGCATGTATATCATATTGAAGGTTGATGTCAAGTCTAGTGCGAAGACGCGCATTTGCTGGCTTGGAAACTAAGTAATGTCCCTGGGGCTTTCATGCATTCCGCTGAACAGATGTAAAAATAGGTAGTAGATGGAATCGAAGCATACTCTTAGCATGGTACTCTCTAATTTGTACTCCCTTGTTAATCTAAAACGTAACATTTCCATGCGGTTACGGTTTAACCTTATTGAAATCGTGGCATATGCCTTATGTGTAGTTATGTTATAAGTATAACATATAAACCGTGCACTGATTTCCAGATTATTTTTTTGACTCTGGCTTGGCGGAAATATGCCCTGGCTGAGCTATACTTAGACTTAATGACGCAAGTTAGAGCAGCATTGTAGTAAGTAATCGAAAGTTTTAGCATTGTATTTAATTAGTTTAATTTGAATGGTTATGGTATCTAAATATACAACAAATGTATTCTTCTGAATAATCGCTCATTTAACTAACTATATTTGTTACCGCTATTCCCATAGCTGGATAACTAGTCATTTAACATATCGAATTGATATGATGTACTCATCATACATTTGTTTGTTTGTTTCGTCTCAAACTAATGGAAATGAATAGGGCAGGTTTACATAAAAATATTCGTTTGTAGTTCAACTATTTGAATTACCTTTAAATTCATAATATTTAACTCAATTGTTTTGCTAGCACGGGGTCATCGAAGAGTTGTGGGGGAAGTTGATAATGTATATTTGATAAATCATTACCTATTTCCGACATGCATTGTGATGTCACTATCTACGTCATTATGTGTTTTAAAGGTCGTTCTATTGTTGTTATATGTAGTTACAGATATATACCAAAATATATCGTACTTAGTGGTGTATTTGATAATAACGTCAATGACGTCCGACTGCTGTCTATTTGCCTTCCCTTCAATGCTAGTAAGTTTGCATTCAATCATTTGATATTGAAACTCGAAAGTATGTTTATTTCCATAGATTATACAATTTATTCATTTACCGAGTATAAACTTTTGATGAACATTATGGCCAAGCTTGATCGGAGATAGATAGTTTATTTTTACCGTGAAATAATGTCATTTTGCTGTTTTTTTGGGCCATTCGGTACATTTTCTCGTCAAGGTGTGATGCAAATTATATATGTAAATTGCCACTTTCAACGAAACTAGGAAGCCTATTCATCGTTCATAATTTTACAAGTTTAATCCGGGTGTATGTGAATCTATATTTAACATAAAACACCCGTTTTCATTCGCATGACATGTTTTAACTAATATAGTTGCACAGTAGCACGCGTGTATTGCATTTATGGTAACTCTTACGTCACAGTACACCGCTTATCTGTTCTCAGCGGTTCAAATTTTCTGACGAAACTTGTAATTAAATACAAGACTCTCCTGTCCATTCCCACTACTCAATATTAATTATAAAATGCCCCCGTTCATTGAATATTTTATATTAAATTTGAATTGCTTCAACGGCATAGATCCTTGTCGCAATCAATAAAGTTCTTCAGGGATTACCCGAAAAGAATCCTCTTTTTATTTAGCCGGAAAATCGATTTCTATTTTGAGTTAATTGGATTGAAGTGGCCGGTCATTTGTACTATGTGTTTAAGCAGGACTCTGTCATTTTATCATACCAATCTACGGGCAAATTAAAAATTAAAGCGCACTTGCTAAAGTAGATAGAATGAGCCTATTCACGGGTTTTATCTATTCCATATCGTATATTGTATAACAGTACTCTGACGCTAAATAGAAAATGGCTAAGAGACAAATTTATTATTTTGAGTGTCGGTCATTGAGTCATCTATTTTAAGTATTAATCATTTATATTAAAAAACTTAGCGAACAAATATAATTTCGAATTTACGTAATTGTCGTCAGTTCGTTTCTCCTTACAGACCGAGAGAATAATTTCACACGGCCAAATAGGGATCATATTTTATCCTTGGCCTAGGAAATATCAATTTTCGATTGCATTGACGTTTTTGACTGCATACTTCTAAATACAAATTTTCGGTTTTCCTATGTTTATATAATCCAAATTTCCGATTCACGCATTTAGTTATAAAAAATTAACTATATACTGGAAGGAAACTTTATTTTGTCACTGGTTGCAAATAGAATCTTTAATAACCTTTTTACATCCGTTTATTAGTAATATTCCATGTCGAGCAGTGTTGATTTTAATCCTTTCAAAACTCAGCCGCCTGGCACTATGTTACAACTTGTACCCAGTTTTGTAGAATAGAATCTTTATGAAAAATGGTATCCCCTTGCCTATCAGTACTGGTTGTACATAGTCTTGTTCGACGTGGTAGACATGTAAACGTGTGTTATTACCTAAACATCCTTTCTTTTGTTATTTCAGCAAAGTTCGTGGACGAAAATAAGGCGCATGGTCATTTGGTCACCTTTTATGCAATCATTCAAAAAGAAATATCCTTGGGTACAACTTGCCGGCCATGCAGGTAAACAAGACTAAAATAATTGGAACTCAAAAAAGAACCTAGCATGTCAGGTCAACTACTTCTGGTGGTGAAAACATACAGACGTGATAGCGCCTAACATGACAATGGGGTTTTTACAATAAACTCAATTGCGGTATCGGACAAGCTGGTGGTATTGCTTCCTACTCCCTACATCAGAGGTCGGCAACCTTTTGTCGCTCGCGGGCCAAAATTAAGGTTGCAAGTCATTGGCGGGCCGCACATATTTTTTAGAAAGTTGAAAAATCGAACGGATGGTACTTTTTATAATAAAATCAAGCAGTGATACATCTCTCGAATAGAATATAAATTTATTTCCTCATTGCATCTCATAAAATTTCATTTGAATATTTTCAGCGCCATTGAACCCTTTGCACTTAGCATCAACTTTACGGCGTTTTGTTGCCATTAGCTCAATTATATTTAAATTATATGCTCATTAAACGAGTAATTGTGAAATATATAGGTGTTATGTTATAATATAATTTATTCTAAAGAATATATTCGTCAAAACGGATGTTTTGATACTATAATTTAGTGAAGCGTCGCGGGCCGGATTATAGTGCTCCGTGGGCCGGATCCGGCCCGCGGGCCGTAGGTTGCCGACCCCTGACATTATAAACTATTTAAGAGTTCTTTCTCGCTTTGATTGCGAATTCTTTGAACTCAGAGATTTCCATACCAAATGGAAATACACTTCCAAACTTATGACCCTGTAAAATTAGATAACCAATAAAAAAACGTTATCTCGAATTTTATGCGTTACTAAATTCATTTTCTACAAGTTCAATTTTGCAGATTTATCTTTTAAATTTAGAATGTATTAGATGCTCGATATGTGAAAATATTATTTTTACACTGTATTCTGAGCTGTGAATTATGCAGTGTTGATCATCCTTGTTTCTGGTATTTTCTGTTCATCTCAGTCTAGTGATTGTGAGGTGTTCTAAATATGTCCTGCCATACTTGTCCCTTTTAGCGCACTTGTCCCGCTTTGTTATACTTGATCCACTGTTATGAGTTAGGACGAAGTTAGATGGTTAAAGTAACAATATGAAGGGGAATTCATGATATGTCATGGATTAGGCATCAGATCTAATACGTGGTAGCAAAATACTCACAGGAGTGGGATTCACACCAGCGGGACAATGGGTGCAAGTGTGGAACGCGACATTTTCGGGACAACTGAGTTTGTCTACTTCAGTAATCTTCACGTCTCTTTCCTATTTAACCTTGCTTTTAAAATTGCAGGGAATTTTCAACCAGGAGAAGAGGGCTGTATCTTGAAGAAATTTTGTTCAAGAGAAGCCGATTGTCTAAATAAATTATCCACTGATAATGCATTAAGACCGTTTGCACCTGAATATCATGGAATAGTAGAAAAAGAAGGAGAAAAATACACGAGAATGCAGGATTTATTACTCGCATACGATTGCCCCAGTGTGATGGACTGCAAAATGGGAGTACGGTATGTAATTGGTTGATTTTACTCAGATTCGGCAATAATGGTCCTTCCACAATCCATGCAATGCCGATTCTGTATGTTAGTGTTACCATTGTATTATACTAGTTTCAAAAAAACAAAAGCATGAGATGTTAGAGAATTTGCACAAATAACACAAGGCGGTTTGTTGTGAATTTTTATGGCCTGGGCCCTGGAGTCTAAGAAAATGTTACACCCGACTTGGGTCTGAAATCTGACTACCGACTCCATGGATTAGATGGTCTCTGATGTCACGTGATTCGATAGATAGCTTTACTCAAATCTGCCTCTGACTCTGGGTACAGATACAGCCCTCTATGAGTTAGAAAATTTCTTTGTTCTTTACATTATCGTTGACTTTTCATTACGCTACAGCTACGTGTTCTCACATGAGAATTGTCAATATTTGTTGCAATAAAACGTCAACATCCGTCACCTAACCCTAGTACAAAGACCTTTGATTTTGCCACAACTTTTTGATTTACAGTAATTTCTATTTATTCGTTTGTCTTTTCTTGTAAGTCATTTGTTTTTAAATTTCATCATTACGTGTGCGTATTCCTTCATATGGTTTAATAATGTTGTAGATTTACGGTAAACTCGAAATGAGTTAGATATTTGAGAAATTTTGTGTTTAACGTTTTGGTATTTATGTAATGGTGCATCTGCGTCATCACAACTTACATTAAATAGCAAATATTTGAACTGTGAACAATACTATCCTGTACTTCTTCCCGCGTTTGTCATCATAAAATATTTGTTTTACTCGGAGATGACCAGGGCGAAGGCAGGATTTTTTTTTTTACGGAATTAATCTTATGACGAAGGATTCAGAATAAACTCAATTGATTTTTGAAAACACAAAATCTTGAATTTTTTAAAAAAAATATGCTTTTTTATGAATAAAATGCACAAATTAGTATATTTTGATAATGTGAATCTAAAACCGAAATTGAGAAAAATATATGTTGACCTCAAGTGCTTTCAGTATCTGAGAGAAACGTGCGTTATTACATCCACTAATTTATGGTTAGTAAAAACGATTGCATTTTGCTGACAATGGTATTTATTGAAGAAGACTATTACGACACTCTGACTTACTCTAACTCCAGTATTCGTTTAGTAAGCCATACTTAATTTTCAAGCTTTTTAGCTATAGCAATCCGCATATCCTAGTCGCAAATTTCGGCTCCGAATAGTGACTTGTGAGATTGGTTGCCACGAAGTCAGGGAACACCGTTTTCCACCTTATGTGGTTGAAATACTCTAGAAGTAGCCCCCTGTTCGATTATAGCTTTCGGCTTGTATTGAACATCTGTCGAAGGTGAAATTTTGTATTGAAATTTTCGGTTGTGCATGTCATTGAAGAAAAGGTAAATATATAATTTCAATACCTAAATACTTTTTCAGAACCTATCTCGAAGACGAGCTCGTGAAAGCAAAGATAAAGCCAAGATTACGTCATGTGAGTAAATTCTATGAATCCATAAGAGAAAATGTATTTTACGCAAAGATCAAAAGCTTTTTTGAAAGAAGTATAATCATAAATGTTAGGCAGGCATTTAATGAAGTATATCACAGAACTTGTGATTGAAGCTCATCTTCGCGGCGTGATATTTCAATTTTGATTTGTAAAATTTGACAGCAATCATCATTCTCTTTGCCTCAAATTTGTATCGCACAAAACTTCTATCGGTAATAGTAATAGTATAATTTTTCAATGATGGGTATCCTGAAACCCATCGTGCCTCTGAACGTGATACTTTACTAATTTATCGACCATATATTGTGTCATAAAACTGTTACTAAGAAACGATTTTACTTGATTAAATTCTCCATAAGTCATATCATTATGAATCTTGATTCACTTCTACTCATAATTAATGGTCTTCTGCATGTTACTAAATATAAGGCGATTTGTTTAAAATGCATTCGTTCTTATTTAAAATTGAACCAATACTTTAACAACGCTAATACGGTAATTGAAAGCAACAAAATAACTTTCATTTCACATGAATTCAACGTTCTAATTTTATGGAATATGCTATATGCATTTAACCGCCTAAAATCGGTGCACGTAGAGCATAAAATGATGTCGAAACAAAAATTTGCTGGTAACCGAAGTTTCATTATTACAGGGGTTTGCAACAGGCGGCCCGTGGCCCACAACCTGTCAAGTCAATAAGTGTGGCCCTTGTCAACACTCAGATTTATTCACATAAACAATAAAATCCTAATCCGCAGTTGTTTGAAAAGGCGCTCCACATGGATAAAAATAAATAATGTTTTTTTTTCTCTTTTCTCTGCGATGAATCTACCGCCGCTTCACCCGGTTCATTCGTTGCTGTAAGTCTAATAAGCGATAGCCGTTATTACAGTGAAACCCATTATAATAGCAAGAAGGTTATGGCTCAAAATCGACCACGATTACTTCATTTTACATTGTTCAAACCGTATGTCTCAGACTTCGATTCTGAACAGTCCATTAGCATTTTACAACCTTTTTTAACAACGTGCACTAGTTTTTTCACACTACGAATCGATCAAAGCGACAATTCGAAATAAGTAAATTATGGTATATATGTAATAAAACGTAAGTAAAATTCAGTGTCAACTACTTGGTGCGTTGCATCGCGGACGCTCATGCTTCAAATTATCTTCCCCAATAAGGTTACCATTTTGTGCAATCGAAATTGGTAAAAAAAATAATTTAACTTTCCCAAACTGTTCAAAATACCAGAAAAGCTGGATTGCAATCCGCCAAATTAAGTTTTGAGCATTTCCCATGCAGCATATTTTCTAGAAAAACCTGTTCGAATTAGAAATATACTAAAGACTTCCATGTTAGAAAATATTAAAAGAAAATATCCCGTCCAGAATTTATTACAAAGATTGGCTGATTCTTCACTTCTCTCTCTGGTAGTAACAAAAATAGTAAATTACCAGGAGATGAAATGTTAAATAAGGTCAGTAATTTGGTATAAACAAAGAGACGTTTCTCTATTTCCAGCGACTTTCATACAATGAACTTTATATAAACTTCTAAACGCAAATATCAAACATATTTTCAAATGTCAATTCCATGATTAACATTTTATCACCTGATTTTAAATGGTATGAAAATATTAAATTTTTGAAAAAAATTCTCCCTTTTCATATTTTTCAATTTAATTCAACCAAACCTGCTAGGTTTCTTTTTTATATCGTTTACAGTAACACACCGGAACCTATAAATACCATAGGTGTTTAAAATGTATATATATATATACAAAATGTCACCTCAAATACCAAACCTTACGATTAACTTATTATTATAAATAAAGGTTTCACGGCACGTCCGTGCGGTATTATAAGGATGCTGAATAACAATATAACAGACATGTATTGTTTATCCGTATGAAAATATCAGAATTATCTCTGATTCATTCTCGATCATCCTTAATTACGGTATATGTATTTTGAAAATGTGTTGAAAATCGATATGTTTTAGCTATTGAGATTCTATGTTATTATTTTTGTACTTCTGAGAATTTCCGTCCGCGTAGCCAAATAATGCATTAATCAAAACCTCTATTTTTGAGGTCATGTACTCTATCACATTACTGCGTGTGGTTTTATTACAACGTTATATGTCACTTGATTCTTACGCATACTGTGCGTAAGCGTCATTATCATAGCCGTGCGTGATCCGAAAATTGTTTGTATATGAATTTAAACAGATTTGTGCCAAATTTGTGTTTGAGTCATCTGCTTGGCAATGAACAATACAGCTAACATTTTCAGCTGCATACTGTCTTTCAGGAAGAATGTACTGTTCTTCGATGATCGGACATTCATGGTTTTATGTACGGTTTGCTTGAAGAAGTATATATTGCTGTTGTACACCCAGTACCAAAATTTAAACTTTCTTTTTATTGTTGTTAAAAAGAATAATCGATTCTAATTTAACATTGCTATTGCTATTAATTCATCATTTTGACCAAAGTTAGATGACTAGTCAAATTCAGTGATACATCCGGGTACGCTGATCTTTCTAGGTTAGGGTTGGACCATAATTTTATTCCTATTTTCCTTATTCTAGTTCTATTACGAGTTCGGGACTGTCTGTGTTAGCTAAGTGAATATACCCCCTGGGCCCTGTTCATAGGCTTCCGTTCCTTTACACAACTTGATGTGAATTAGGCGAACAAAACTTCTGGAGCGCCGACTTCTCCATGTAATTTATTTCGGTTTTGCTAGTTAAACATTGACATTTGCTATCAAGCGATTATAGATTTTCACGACTTGACTGATTCGATAAAAATATACCGATTAAATATACGTCACTAACAGAGTTTCTAATGGATGAGAATTTTCGAACCCATGAAATTTCCAATTCATTCCCGGTAATTTTGGTCAAAATTGCACCAAATTGTCTCTGTAATTAACCTGTAAAATTACTCTTTGTTGAGTTTTCAATCAATAAAATACGTTAATAACCACAATATACCGTAGATATATTTCATTTTTTGTAACTTGAAATTATCCTGAACACTAATCAATTTAGTCATTCGAATTACGAGGATTTGAACATGAATCATATTCGTATTATGTTTAGCAACATGATCGTTTCGAAACTAGCTGTTAATAGTTTTATTTTTTCCAGACTTTTAAAATCACTATTTCCGTGAAAAATCGATTCTAATTTGTTTTCTTAAATAGTATTTATGCATCATCGATGACATCCGGGTCAAGGTTAATTCTTACGTAAGTTTGCGTGAAATGTCGGAGACGTTAATTTACGCTGCGTGATATAGCAAGTTTTGATTTATAAAGAACATGGGAACATAATTGACAAAGGGGATTGTCCAGCTGTTAATACGCTAATCTGATTTTTTGGCATTGGCGATGAAGATTTATTGCATCGATTTCCTTGTTTATTTCCGGCAATAAGTCAAGTCAGCAGTAAGTCAACGATAACGTAACAATGGCAATTTGTGCAGTCGCTCAGACACTCATGTCGCTCAGACAGATTTCCAAGCGTTTTGTCAGATTTCAGAGTTTTCAGTTGTGCGATAAACTAGGTTAAAATTAGCTATTAGTGCCACGTCGTTTAATGATTAAATGAGAAATATGGTCTGTCCACTTTCCAAAACACTCTCAAAATAAGTACTAAAAATTAGTAGTAAAAGAGTACAAGGAGAATCTTTCTTGGTCAAGGGTCGGGAAAAGTCCATTATAGTTTCGATTAGGATAAGTTATTGCTTCCCTTTTTCTAAAATGAACGGAGAAGTTTCGGGAACTACCAAACCTAACATAAGATAAACAAAGTCAAGTAGCAAAACCAAAAAAAAAAAGATTAGTGGTGGATCGATTGGATACGGTGCGCGACTGTATCATGAAATGTTTTATAAATTGAGTAGGCAACGCCGAACACAACAATTTTCCCAGATAGTTTTCATCGTTGCGATTTGCCGACTGTTTAGGGCCCTGCTTGGCATGAACAATCGAATGAAAAATTTCTTTAAAATTACAAAAAAGTTGCATTCAAGTGGTATATAAAAACGTAAGCTTGACAATCACGGGGTTAATTCTCTGTCGGTTTTGGTCATATCGCAGTTCGTCATGACAGTGATAATACCGCGATTTACCCTTTTTCTTTCCTCTCAGCTCTAAATCTAGCCCAGACGCTTTTTCGATTCTTGCTCAAGTTTCGAATTGGTTCCGGTAGGTTAGGATATATAGGCTAATAAAACGTTACCAGCGATAAAACCGCTTTATCTTTAGTATTATACATATATTCAGTATAAATATAAATATCAAATGTTTTTGATTAATTCTTATTTCAGGACATGTACGCAAAGATGACTGAAATTGCACCAGAGGAACCAACACAAGAAGAACACGAACAAAGAGCTGTTACAAAACCACGATACATGCAATGGAGGGAACACGTCAGTTCTTCATCAAATCTTGGCTTCAGGATTGAAGGAATAAAGGTAGTAGACTGTATTATTACCGATTTCAAATGTTCTAAATTGGAATCTTTGAAGAAAACTCCGCGATTTAAACGCCATATTTCATAGGAAAAAATTTTTTTTTTTTTAATGTATTTGTGAAATGATTGGGCAGTCCCTGTGGAAACCCTTATCCACCGGATTGGCTTGGATATAGGTGTTTTATCGGAAAAAGCTTATATGCGGACCGGTGACCGTACATTTGAACCCATGTACATTTGAACCCATGCGTATATCCACGGGTTCAATCTATATGCGGGTGCTAAAACCCATGGGTTAGGGTTAGTATGGGTTTAACTATCCGTGAAACAAAAAAAATTCCATAGGTGCAATAGCATACAGGTGCAATTGTCATGGGTTCAAATGTACGTGGGTTCAAATGTAATGGAACCATGCGGACCATCAAAACTGCCATGTATCTTATTTTCTAAGCGCGTGGTGCAAACGTACACTACTGACATAATATCACCATTTTTTATTAAGACCAGAAATAAATGATAACATAAAAACTCGCACCTCGATGGCAGCATACGTCTTGTGTGCCAGCCCTAAAAAACAAATCTCCTGGCAATATGGCAGCCAAATTCCTCGCATTTCATTCATCGAATGGTACTCCCGTAGTATGTGAACCAAGATGGCGGACACTGGAACGTAGTATGTATACCAGGTTAGGCCATAATTTCAGGTATAAATACTACGGGAGTCACTTGGCTAGTCCCCGAACTCGTAATAGAACTAAAATAAGGGAAATTAGAATAAAATTATGGTCTAGCTAGCCCTAATCTGGTACACATACTATGTTCAGGTGTCCGCCATCTTGGTTCACATACTGCGGGAGTGCCCATCGAATAACAAAAAATTCGACTAACAGTACAGCGTTTTATAAATTTATATAATCTTATGCCATTTTATTTGTTGGTAAATCATTCACAAGCTGCAATCTTTTCCCCGGCGGGTATGACCGCATCGAACAGATAATCCAAAAGATGCCTCATCTTGTGGTATTTGCCTTGTAAGCTGAAACTATCTTCAGCCGGCTGTATTTATTATTTTAAACCCTATTATGACGACATAATCGCACTATCGATTCAAACCACCGTGTGAAATTATGCCAAACACGCAGCAAAATTATTTGAGTTTTTTTTTATTAAATTAAATTTTATCATTCTGTCTTGGGCGAGTATCATCGATTAAACATATATATACTAATATTTGACATGTATAAATTATCGTTGCTATTCTGTTATTAAACCTCAACAATTTTTTTTGGATTCTGTTCAGGTTAGGTTGTTTTCTGTTTATCTAAGACTATAATTAATCACTTTTTTGAGAATTAGTGGTTTTGCAATATCAGCAGCATAGTACCACATAATCTTCTTCGTATATGATACATAGCACATGGTGAAAATTCGACAAAAGGCGTGTAGTTGGCGTGTAAAAATAATATGAAGAAACTATGAATTTATTCCGAACGATTGGACACTTTTATAATAATTTCCGGATAGTTTCCAGCATCACCAAAAGTCAGTGTTCCCATATCAAAATGCTCATACCGTTGATGGTTTCGTGACTATTTGTTTCTGAACTTTATGAAAGTTCCTCCATTGATTTACTAACGTATAATGCACCGCTATGTCCTATAATTAATTATACATACGGTAGTTTCACTGTCTTTCGGATACTCCCGAAGTACGTGAACCAATATGGCGGACACTGGAACGTAGTATGTGTATCAGGTTAGAGGTAGGCCATAATTTTATTACAATTTTCCTTATTTTGGTTCTATTACGAATTCGGGGACTAGCGAAGTGACTATTTGTACCTGAAATTATGGCCTAACTCTAACCTGGTACACATACTACGTTTCGGTGTCCGCCATCTTGGTTCACATACTTCGGGAATACCGTCTTTTGGTACTTCAGAGTGGTCGCCCGTATGGGGTAAATTCCCTCAGCTCAGACATAAATCTCTTAATTGCGAGTGAGTACGCATGGCCAGCAAATTTCTTTGAAAAAAATCGGGACATTATGTTAGTGTTGGATGCCCTATATTTTACCTTGAACTAGGCAATATTAGGCAAAAAGCCGTTTCTGCTGAGGAAGTAGTTTGCTTTGTAAGGTTATGTCGGTATATCCCACCATTACACTTACACCCTTAGGTTTATCCGTGCTAACAAACCAAGGGTTGAACCTCAATATTATTTTTGTTTGAATAGAATTTACGTAATTCAAAAAGAATACTTATAAAAATGTAATTCAATCTATTTACTGTAGACTGTATTGACTGTAGTGAATTGAGAAATGGATTCGTATTTATATGAATTTTCTCACTCGCACCCAAAATAAAGTAATGTCATCTCTGAACAATGTCACAGGCAAACACTGAAAGTCCAACGATTTCGATCTTATCAATTTATCATTTTATTTTTCAGAAAGCCGACAACGATCCGAGTAAAGATTACAAACTGACGAAAACAAAAGAACAAGTTAAAAACGCTTTTAAATATTTTATCGACGACAATATTGACGTGTTGGTAAGTTTTATTTTACTATTTACTTACCCAGATTTTTTCTTAGTTTTAGTCAAATGAATGATATTCAAGATGACTGCTTCCAAAATTTGCTATTATCGTTTCTTTGGATAGTCAGGATTTCCTTCAATTTGAATTCTGTAGCCGCAGTCCGGAGTCGGTTTCTGGGTGGTGGCTAGAAATATTTTGAGTCCGATGTTGATTTTCTTGGATTTGGCGTTTGAGATACTTCAGTTTCAGCTGACAAAAGTTCTTATGTTATTGATATCAGAATCTGAGTAACCGCACTTTTATGCAAAATTTTCAATTATGTTTTATTTTTTAGGAAAAATACATAAAAAGGTTAAAAGATGTCAGGGACGCAGCCGAAAAATCAGAATTCTTCATGTCTCACGAGGTGAGTTATATAAACTCATAATGAGATAACTAAAAATAAAATGTGGTCGCGCTGCCATGATTTTGTCTACGCGAAAATGAATTTCGCTCCCGTGTTTTTATGCGATCAAGCACGTCGCTGTTGTAATTTTTCAACCCGTATTAAAACGAAATCATTGGTCTAATTTAAGAGAATTTTTACATATAGCTCTGTTCTTCTAAATCAATTTCGTTCTTTAAATATGCAAGGCTACGAAACTCTCCCTTTTCATTTAGGATCATATTTCGCAATGCTATACGGTTGACAATAAGTTCAATTTTCATGATTCAATTTTGTCTAAAATCACACGGTAATGAAACCATCTCTTGGTTGTTTATATTACCGTTTATCTATTGTATTTTCTGTAGGTAATTGGAAGTTCACTTCTCTTTGTTCACGACAAAACCGGAATTGCCAGTGCGTGGATGATAGATTTCGGTAAAACTTCACAACTTCCGGATAATAAGAAATTAACGCATAGAGAGGAATGGATAGAAGGAAACAGGTGAGCTTCTTCGCCAAATAGTTGACTATTTTTATTCCTATTGTTTTGCGAATCGAAAAGAAAAACGGTATCTCCCTGTATATCATTTTGGTCCTGCTTTGAAAGTGGGGGCGACAACGTTGTTGTTATAACGTTGGACAGGAAGTGTACCTATGGACTTTGTTATTAAAAACGCTACAAGACTATTACTTATATTCATTTCAAAATTTCAGTGGTCTCTATGGGATTCGTCTTTTTTGTTTGTGATGACGTCATCATAACTGATAAAAAAAATTGCGCACTTTGTGGCGGTTCTGCGCTCGCTGCTATTTGGTGGTCAGGCAAAAACTTCGGTACCTGCCGCCTACTGTAAAAGATTTGATCCCGCACTACCCCGCTTTGGCTTTCGTGTGCATTTATTTCAGCATCGCTCCCTTATATGGTGATCAGGCGAAGTCTGGAAAACTGCGCTATCGATTGTAACATTGTATACTGTAAAAGATTTGATAGTCGCATTTTTTTTTATGTGGCTCGCGTGATAAACATCCAATCTTTCTTGTTACTGCCATTTTAGGATTCTTTTGTTACTCCTAACACAACGATGCTTTAATGAGATAATGTCTAAGACGAAAATGTTATATTAGATAGAAATTGAGGTTTTATTGAATTCGCCGTTTGAGTCATTGCCTAATTTATGTCTGAAATGTCATGACTTATCGAACGCTATCAATGAAACCAATTTTATAGAATGAGAATATGATTATTTTGTTCTGGTTTGTGTATGACATTTCCCCTTTTAGATACATAATGTGAATTGCTTTTTTTTTTGTGGCTTCTGAATGATTTCTTATTAGCGTTCGGTTATATTTCACTTGATTTTAAGACTTGACTCCCTTGAGATATTTTACGTCGATATGGTCGATTTCAATATCATTATTTCAACACATTCAGACTTCAACATCGTAAAATGGTTGTTAACTTTCAAATAAAAATTTCGACGACTCGTAATTATGTTATTAAAAATACATTAAAATTTAACGACATTTTGCGGTAAATCAAGCTATTTTGCAAAGTCGATGGCGTTTCCATCCAATCCATTGGCGTTTATGACTAACGGCTTCCTTGTTTGTAGATTACAATGATGAAGTGGCTGAATAATGGTGATTAGATAATGTCACTGAGTCACACCGTGTCTGTTTCAGGGATACCACCATTGTCAGTAAAGCCAATCCAATCTTATTCGCCAGGCTTGATGATCTTTTCCTTGGCCTTTGGCCCTAGAAAAAGTCTTCCTATACTTCATTGTAAAATTTTTGATTTGAGTTTGCACATACGGACATACATAAAGGTTTACATTTTTCATCATCATTTTGATTCAAAATATTCAACCACCCGACATTTAAGAGTACTGATAGCTAATTTTAGCCCAGTCTATCTAATTTTGGAAACACTGGCCTAGCAAAGTCATGCTAGAAAATATCCCTTCATAAAAGTGTATATTTGAATTGTTGCGTCACCTTTAATATATTTTGTTTTATTAATCATCATTGCGGAAATAAACGAGGAAGTCTATGCTCGTTGAAACTCCCATAAAAACAGGACATCTGTGTCCTGGCATGACCTCACAACATGTTAGACAGCAGACACGTCCAGTAAAATAAATCTGTTGTCTTTTATTTAACGCCCACGTGGGACATCACTGACAAATAATGTTCCTATATTACAGGGAAGATGGCTATCTCTTTGGACTTGATAACCTCATTGGTATATTTGAAGAAATTTGCAAGGAGTTGATGTCAGATTCTGTCAATATAATACAATCAACGGAAGTAAACGGTAATCAGGAACCGACGTCGAACGACGTAAATGAGAGTGATAACAACGAGCAAAGCAGGCTTCCTGGATCACCACTAACGTTGACACTTTCAAGTCAATCATCTGCCGAGAGTGTCGAGTCCTCGTCTTCCCAACCTCAAGATGGACCGACGGACGACATTGCGTCAACACAAAACAATACAAAAGAAAACACGCGCAAACCACCTTTAAAACGTCAAACGGCGTCTTCCGAACCTGACGCATGTCATCAACCAACTTTAGCAACCGATCCCGTGACTGATAACATCACAAACGACGCAAAAAACGTAAACACCGACGTTGCAAATGGCTCTGTCGGAACTATAAACGATATAAAGGACGATTCACACCTGGATGAATCGAGGGGTCCAGGTACAACATGATTACCCCAATCTCTTCCCTACAAGTGGGTAGTTGAAAATCCATGGGGTCTACGTACTCCGTGCCTCAAAGCTTTCTAGGAGTGTGTCAGGCAATCCACTGTCCTTACAACAGTACTCACACAGATAATATTGAACCGAATCACATCACTAACAATCATGCATGATCTCATTCTATGTTGATCGTCGGTTATTGAGTGCACTAATTTCCGGCCTAGCAAAAGTATGGGCTTGACTTAGGTTTTCGTGCACTTCTTGCTGAAGGTCTTTTCTATGTCTCAAGGCCAAGAACTAGACAAATCATTTGTTAATTAGAATGATTTCTAGACCAATAGCCCATCAACAAAAACAGCGATGGGCCTGTTAGTCAACTAAACAGCAATTTCATTAATCTATTCAGGTATCTTTTCAGGCAAATTCGGCAATGATCTATCTCGTAATATATCGTGTCTGCTTGTAATATAATGTTGGTTGTAAATTGTATTGTTAACGCTGCAATGCCTTCACTTGAGCTGTTTATTACACCATAACTCGGAAAGCTAATTATTTATCTTTTAATGTCCAATATCTCATAACGGTACAATGTGTACGTTACTTTATCACCAGATTTCACAACATTCGAATCGCCATTATTTTCTCAATTACCTAGAAATGTGTTGATTTTCAAACTGTAAATCATAACCACTTTGATTCGTGGCGGAGTCGGCCATGTTTTGTCCAGGAATTTCAACCCCCAAGATATTTTGAATCGCACACTCTCGCTACAACGTTTCGGCTGACAAAACTTCAATATTTTCGGACAACAGACTTCGCTTTTTTTTTTAACTTACAGAACAGTTCGATTTGGGCTACAAAATTCGCGATTTCTTATCAATCGTTGCTTCCTGTATTTCTGGAAGACAAATTATAAACTATATCTTGGCAAATATCGAATTACACATACAGATTTGTTATTACAGCACCCGGTCGGTAAATGGAGATTTTATTTAAGTTGGCTCGTGTATAGGTCGAAGTTGTCAACATATATAGATGGATACTCCACATGGGCAAGTCGAGTTACACTGCATTTTGCAGACAACTTTTCAAGGCCCATAGTCGTTCATATTCTTTTGATTGTCGCATCATAATAGGGCAATTTTCCGATTTCTTCAAATTCCATTTCTTCTGTTATCTTACTTATCGATTTTATCATTTTGTTAGTCATTGTTTTATCAATTATCTTTACTTTATTATTATCTTGTGCACGAATCTATTTATCGTTTTATTTTATCTGTGGCTTGCCGTTACAGATAATATCATGTTATTTGTACCGGTGTTGATTTATCATCCGCTGTTGCCGTGTTTATCATCTTCTTCTTGTTATTCTCTCTTATCTCATTTTATCGTATCGTTATCGTGTGCACTCAAAATCATGATTTGTTATCAGACTAATGATTATCAAATTCTTGATGAAACTTGTTGATGTTTTTATTTATTTTGACGGGCTGAATGAAAGTGGAATTAGGTATTGGGTTCCGTCACCTAGCCAAGGCCGAACTATGTAGAAAAAAGAGTACTCATGTAGTATGCGCCATTATGGCTCGCATACTACAGGAGTACTGAAAAAAGGGGGTATGCGAACCAAGATGGCGGACATCGGAATGTAATATGTGTACTAGGTTAGGGTTAGGCCATAATTTTAGGTATAAATACTACGGGAGGCTCTTGGCTAGTCTTCGAACTGATAATAGGACTAACATAAGGAAAATTGGAAAGAAACTATCGCCTAACCCTAACCTGTTACCCATGTTACGTTCCGATGTCCGCCATCTTGGTTCGCATACTTCGGGAGCACCGAAAAAAGACTCCGACCCTTGGGGTCGGTCCACGGTGGTGTCGTATGGGCTTTAAGATTCCTTTGTTTGTCTAGCTGGGGTACTTTTTCTCGCCAGTCTTCCCGAGTTCAGGGTAGCTGTCTTGATGATTTTCCCCCGATACTACCAGGCCAAACTATTAGTACGACTACGACGACCTATTCAAATGTTTGAGGAATTCCGACTTTATATTATAACTCAAAACGTGATGACGTATTTAAAGTATTTTTCAACAATCCATGACGAAGCTATAGAACTCGACTGGTGAACCTCAATTCTAGAATTTTTATTGCTATCACCTAGCCTAGGAGGTTCATTCGACACAAATTATTTGATTGAAAAACTTATTTTATTTCGTCAAAAATGGACAACTAGCTATCGCTTTCCAGCGCTGAGTTCATTTGTACAAATGATATCGAGTGGGGAGATCATCGTGTCAATCGCATCCTCTTCTTGCACATAAATTTAGTGCATGATGGGCTGCTTTGACTCCTTTATCAGCTGCAAATCGAAGAAGCTTTTCAGGTTCACTGTAGGAAAAGAATATCGTTGCTGATGAATAAGGGAAATTGCATTCACATGAGCAAACCCGGTCAGAATATAACGTTTGTACGTGTTGCCTGTACACGCTCATAGGTAAAATGTAATACAAAGTAAATTATATCTTGTCTTATTTGGATAACAAGCTCCGTCTTGTAATATTTTTACAAACACGTAGTTCTGTACAGACTTGAATTCGAGCACACTGACTGTTGTCAACCTTGACTCGGGTTTCCGTGGGTCAATCCACATAATTCGGGAGGATATTCAATTAGAAGACATTACAACGAGAACATCAGTTTGAACTTTTTTTCTCTGTACTCCCGAAATATGAGAACCAAGATTGCGGACACCGGAACGTGGTATGTGTACCAGGTCAGGGTTAGACAATAACGTTATTCCAATGTTCCATATTTTAGTTTTATTACGAGTTCGAGGACTAGCCAAGTGACTCCCGTAGTATTTGTACATGAAATTATGGCCTAACCTGGTACACATACTACGTTCCAGTGTCCGCCATCTCGGTTCACATACTTCGGGAGTACCCCTTTCTAACTATAAGTCACCAAGTTATTACTTGGTAAAGTTTAATATATATATCTACGCAATGAACAACAATTCAACAACTTGCCCTCTTTTCAAATTCGTTTGGGATCCATGCATATGTCCAACAGCCAAATTATAACTTGCTTCTGCGTGTCCTTGGTCTGAAGCAGCCCTGAAATAATAAGGCATACTAATTAGCAATTTTAATGTTTTACTTGAATTAGGAATTAAAAAGATTTTTCTCGGCTCTAAAACTTCGTCCTGTAGTTTATTTTACAAGAATGGGCAATGTAAACACAGAATAGTCAAACTCTAAGAATCTAGATCTATAATATAGGGATTAACATATTTTTATTGCATTTGGACAAATGTTAAGCTACTTGCAAAATTATTATTAGTTGCGAAATTACAACCAATGCAATGGGTTTTTAGGCTTGAGTCGCCTAAATGTCTATGATACAACTACAGTTCATCTAAAATCAACAAAATATAAATAATAAACACCTGAACCATTGCATGGCTAATGTATCATTTTTGTCTGTTCCTTTTCCAGCTAAATATCTTTGCCCAACGACATGTTGGGCTGAAGAGTATCCTAAATGAGCATATCCCTTTGATACATGAAAATGGAGATGGTCATAATAATAATAGGACGTGTAGATGAGAGAAAACGCCAGTAAGACTCCGAATACCTACATGAACAGCATAGACACAAGTATGAATAAAAAAGAAGTAAATGAAAAATTTGCGTTTTGCCAATCCTATCACCATTTTTACCGACTTCACGACTGCTTTCCACGAGTTCCAAAGTAAACATAATTTTGACATTTTATCAACTTTACTCTACCTTCAGAAGCTCTGATTTTTCAGAAAAAAGATTTGTGAAAATATTTCAAGGCCTCGTGATGATTTTTCTTCGGTGTTTCGAAAATGCCCTACTTGTCCTACTTTTTCACACTTGTCCCAATTATCCCACACGCGTTTTACTGCTATGGGTTAGTAGAGTATATACACAGTCTATGTATACTGTGGCGAAAATGGCTGAAGAAAGATATGCAGTGAGATTCAGGCTCGGTTCTGGTTTAGGATAGAGATATTGCTTGGACACAACGTTACAGTATTCGTAATGATGTGAGATTTATATAATTGGGACACGTGACACAAGAGGGACAAATGTGATACGACATGTTTAAAACACCCATTTTTCTTTATAAGATTATTATTCTAGCTGACTTTACATGTCAATGCTTAATATCTATATATATATAGTAATAACTAATATACCACATTATGTAACAACAAAATACAATACTGCCAAGGTCATATTATAACGAACCTCTAGTGCAGTTACCCACATTGGATCTCGTTTTGAACCTTGCATTCGATACACAGAATGTCCAAGTTTAACATATCTTTCCATATCATTGTGCGACGATGTTGCATCAGCTGCATATTCGTCACCAGCCTGTTCCTCGACAATTTTATTAGAACTTTTGCGATGCCGTAACGTCTTCCCTGTCATAGTAGTCTTATAGTGTCGACTGTCGAGCGCGGACCTAGGCCGTCTCTCTGCTAGAAGAACTAGAAGAAGAGAGACAGAAATGTTCACGACTAATTCCATTCAAAATATAAAATGTTTGAAGGTTTGTTTATTCTTCTCATAGGCATTTGAATCAACATCAACAACTATTGCTTTACTAGCCACTAAACTACTTTTGGAACATAATAATAGATCCTGGTATACACATATATAAACTCGTCGAAGCTGTGTATTTTCAAGTAACCCAATCTAAGAAAAGAGTATGTCATATATATAATATATATGGTGAATATATAAATAATTTATATTTTCATTACGTTTAATTGCAATCCTTTATAATATCTATGTCATGAATATTTCAGTGCTTTCGTTGTGGCGCAGGTTTGTCGCTCACGGAATATGAAACCTAACTAACATTATAATCACTTGAATTTAATAAAACATAACCAGGCGAATAGTGATTGAAAAAATAGAGCGACAGGTACAAATCTTAACATTGTCTGATTTTTAGTTTAATGTAGTTTTCGTAAGCAGTGAAATAATATTTATCATTTATATGTATTGGTTTGGTTGTGAGGTTGGTTTGATAACAACCACAAATAACAAGTGAAATATCTAGCGCCTCATATAGGCTACCCCTCTCCCCCCACACCCAAATTTAGGACACTTGCGCATATTTCACATCCATAAGAGGCAGAGGTGTGCAACATTTTTGTCGGTGGGCCATATAACCAACTTTAGACATCTAGCCGGGCTAGATCCTTGTACACAACGAATTAAAAAATTCTCGCCATGCAAGATTTTACTTTTTTAACATTTTAGTGGAACATTTGAAATTTCAAGTTTCTGCATTGTTTGTTAACACCAGCTTTAACGGAAGTTGTAGCAACCCTTAACTGAAGAAATACATCAGCGACAACCAGAGCGCCGCGGGAAAGACAAGAGGAGAGAATGCGGCTATTGTTCAGCGTTACATGAGTAGCCTAATGAAAGCAAAACTGCGAAAAATTTAACGCAGCGACAAAAGCATAAAACAATATGTATTTTTACCCATGTGAGCGCCTCCTTAAACATAAATTGTCGGATTTGGATTTTATACCTAATGCGGAAAATTTGAGTGTTAACAAGGACTACACCAAATGTCTTAGCGGGCCGGGTTGTGGCCCGCGGGTCCCCCGTTGCACGCCCCTGATATGAGGTAACACGAGAATTGTAATTGTGAGGGTTCGAGTTGTACTTCCAGCACTTTGCAATTAACTAATGCCAGTAATATATACCAGTAGATAATTTTATATATCATTTATGATGTGAGATTTCAAGCAATATATATCCTATCATACACTGCCAAAATATATGTCATGGTAAATGACTGCATATGGTATGGACCATAATTTTTCAAGACAACAATCGTTGCAAAACTTTGATTTGATGACCATACTTCTAATCTCTGCTGTCGGGATAATGATTCTCTCTCGAAAGCTAGCGGATTGAAATATGCACATGCATTTTGCGAACATCAAATATTTTCCTCTGTCTCTGCAACAAATGAAAAGAGTTTGGGCAATTTTCTGGATCATGAGATCGTTATACAAACGGTTTTTAATGTAAATTAGTGTACAAATGAATATTAAATTGGCAATTATTAGACTATTTAGGATTTACACCAAAAGCACAACGAATTATTGGACACGTTTACTGGACATAACGATCGTTTCAAGATTATGTTGTTATTGGACACGTTTATTGGACATAACGATCGTTTCAATATTATGTTGTTATTGGACACGTAGTGGACATAGTGATCGTTTCAATATTGTGTTGTTGTTGTTCTTAGTGTCCTTGTTCTTTGACACGTTTTGAAGAAATCGCTTTTCTCTTCGAATACTAGACCAATTGCTTTGAAATTTTCGGTAGTTGAAGATGGAATTTTTCTCCAGAAGGCTATTACTTTTTTTTTCGTTATGACGTCATCAAAATTATTGCCGTTGGGTGGCGCTACGTGTCCATATATTTGAGCATAGCTCTTTTTGTTGTTATTTACCTCCATCATTTTCAAAAAATCGCTTTTCTCTTCGAATACTGAACCAATTGCTTTGAAATTTTCAGTGGTTAAAGATAAAAATTTTCTCCAGAAGGCTATTACTTTTTTTCTCTCGCTATGACGTCATCAAAATTATTGCCATTGGGTGGCGCTACGTGTCCATATATTTGAGCATAGATCTCTTGTTACCTAATATAATTTTATTGACAAAGGTCGTCAATGACATTTTGGACTGGAAAATAGTTATCAATGTTATTTGTAGATGCATGTTACTAAAAAAATTGCATCAGGTATTTGAATCAAACACACCGTAACGTACAACTATACGTAAAAAACTTACACGGTGTCCGTTACAATGAGATGGGAGTCAAATGAGCATAATAGCGTATATAATTATGTATATTAGATAAAGGAGGGAGAAGCTGTTTTTAAAACTGTTCATTTTGTTTATTGCAAATAGGCAAATGGATTTATTACATTATACAATAGAATATGGCCCCAAATTTACCATATTCATTCCAGATTCTATACATGACGAAGCGATGTTTGAAAACTGGGCTGAAATAGTGTTCTGCGGATACGAGCTACTATCTCTACTATCTTAAGCACGAACGTATCGTGGCTCAAATGCTACTGTTGTAGGAAAACTAGATTGCTTACAGATTTTCACATTTAAGAACATTACAAATATTGCTTTGGGTTCTGGGGTTCTTTTGTTTTAGCCAGCTTTTGCTAGTTTTGTGCCACTACATGGATTTGGTTGATTTCGACGTGATGCAGTACTAACAGCGTGTGTTTGCCATGCGGTGACAGTAAAGCTCGCATCTATATATTTTTATATAAATTTTGCTGTAAGTACCACAGCTATCTTCATCCACATTTTCCTATATGAATTTATTTATTAGCTTGTTTTTTTTTGCGCGCCAGGACTACACAACTGATTATTCGCCCGGGGCGCTGATGGACTGCAACACGCTATTCTCAACGTGATGTTTTTCTTGCGGATACAAATCATTTATCGTACGACCACTATTACTGGATCGTGACATAAGATACTTCCGTAACAGATGGTAACACAACAAAACTGTCCTATTAAGAACGAATTACGCAAGATGAGCCATCGTGTAAGGGACGTTAGGCGCTTTAGGCGAAGTGAAAGTGATTCAGATTAGAAATAGGGGAAATATTCAAGCTTACCGGAAGAGTATATTAGCCTATGTCATTTTTATTGAATAACACTATTCAATATAAAAACAATATAACCTATATCACTATCTCATCCCTATCAGAAACTATTGAATACAGCTAGTTTTTAGTGAATGCAGCGAGAGATTTTACTAAGAATTATACTAAGAATACAGTAATTATTAATATTGGTTCTACCAATCTTGACTGAATTGAAACAGAGTCTCTAATTTGTCCGCAGTGTCGACTTTGTCAGCAATTTTTACTATGCCGAGCCTGCCGGGCAAGGTATGTTTCCTCTGTAAGCAATTTCGACTTGTATCATTTTATACGCCGAATAACAAAACAAAGATATAAAATACTCATGCGTACGTCTCTAAGTTGCATCATTGGATTTGCCTAAAGGTCTGTGTGAGTGATTTCTGATACCAGAATCGAGTCATCATATCCATGCATTGCAGTATTCGATACAACCCTGTATTTGTCTTCAAGGCCTAAGAGCTTAGCGTATTTGGTCAGCGGCAAGTCAGCACGTCATACTTTTTATTGTTTCAAAACTTGGCAATGCCAGATTACTAATCATGCATGGTAACCCTATATGCATACTTGAAAATAAATACCAAACTCCCGTATTTATTGTTTACAATTGCTTCATAGCGTTTTCTGACCATATCGCTAACGTCATAGTAATTTACAGTCACCCAGTTTCTATAATTTGAAATTGATTAAATATGACTGTACAATTTTATTGCACAGTAATTGCCGTTACATGTCATAGGCAGTATTCTTAGTAGATTTTATCTCGTATTGGGGTTTGATGTAACGAAGGTGCTAATTTTAAATTATTATTTTGGTACATAGATACTTTCACGTCATCGGCACATTCATTTCAGGCGTTTTCCTGAAAAATCCAATATTGGTAGGAGCTAATTTGTTTTCTAAATTCATGCATAGAAGTAATTTTACAATATTATTCTTTTTACAAAGTGTTTGTACGCCTTCTATATGAACAAAGATTGAATTACCTAACGGGCCAGATTAACCCCTTTGTGACATCATCATTTGCGTGGCCTATTTGGCCAATCGATGGGCCCTGAAGCTTAAACCCTTATTACTTGTAAATGCCGCCAGAGATATTTCGATATAACGGGTATCTGCATGTCAACTAATTTGGCAATAATGGTCAAGTAGGCAATTTATGAGTTTGTTATTTTAATATATATGGAAGTGAAACAAATTAATATAATTCCTTATTGTTTATAAGGGTGAGTAACACACAACCCGGAAAGCTGGAGTAAACACGCGAACAAATTAGATGATACAATTTGGTGATTCATGGTACCGAGTTATTTTAAGTCGGGTGATTTGATTTTTGGGACTTATAAACTTATCAAAATTTTCGTGTAACAAAGTAACGGGATATTTCCTAAAATAAACTAGAAGTATGATTAACTTTAATAATATCTGCACTCTTATTTTCTTTAAATAATTTGCTCAATGCAAAGACACGTCCCTTTACTCGTTAGACTAAAGCATTGTTCAAAAATAAAATCGAAAGTCGCAACTGGTACGTGAACAGTTAACAAGAATTTAGACTGTATAAAATCGTGAAGGCAGGGGTTACTTCATCTTATGTAGTGTGACTGAAGTTAGTCAAGTCATAACGATTTAGTCAGAGTTGAATTAACCATTAAGAAAATAAGAACGTGCATAGAGCACCACGACAAAGGGGACACCACCAAAGTGCCTTTAAAAGGTATGGTCCGACCCTGGATTCATTACAAATGCCGAAATTGAGTTTTAGTGGCAATAGGCATCAGATTATATTCAGAAACTATTTTGCATTGTGCCTATGGAATACGCATCGTTTCCTCAATATCACCTTGTAAAGGACAATATTCTTATTGTTTATTTCATGATATCTTTCGTTAGCTAGACATTTCGTTTAGAGTGTAAATGTTGGTATACACAATA